ACCATCAAGTGGCTGCAGACCCCAAGAGTCCGTGTTTCGTGCAATCCTCTTCCACCCGAGTTTTCATTGGATCCGATCACTCTACTTTCCAATTGTAGGGTGTGATTCCCAGAGCAATCATGAGGAAGTCAGCATGATGGCATGAGCTGTATCAAAACTGCTACATTTGATGCTTTTGAACTTCATTCGGCTGCCCTGGGCTGGTGCAGCAGCGTTCTTGAATTGATTCCTTCTGTATGTTGTCGCAGATTAAAATCCTTACTACATTTGGTGTTGGTGGTGCATCTGGAAACCTTGTTCAAATTATTTCAAAGCAAAGCCCAAGATGCTGCACCAGCACTGGTAGTATCACCGATGGACAGTGGAGCCTTTTGGTGGAGCATTTCTTCCACTCTTTCACCAGCGACCCCCTGTCACGGCTGCTAACGGCTGAGCAGCCTGGCCAGTTCAATTTCTGCCATTGGCTGGGGAGCTGCTCTCTGTTACTTTAGGAAAGTTGAACTGAATTGTACTGGAATTGTTCAGCCTGCCCAGGCTGGGCTTCACCAAACCGGATGGTTGCCTGGAAGGCATCAGTTGCAGACAGCCTGGTGCTGTCAGTTCGGAGAGTTAAAGTCTGATGAATAATCAGCCATTTTTATATTGAGGAGGATGTCACCGGCTTCTCTTTTGCTGTTTGCAAAATCATTCTGTCATCAGCAAACATGAGCTCTGAGACAAATTCGTCTTGTCCAAATCTGACACAGGCTGACCAGCAAAGTCTTTCCACATGGCTGCAGTGATCGCACTATTGAGCAATGAGAGAGATGGAAAGTAAGTTTTGCTCATGTCGGTTCATGAGCGGAGCTCTCTGGATGTTTCTCCATGAGGACAAGAAGGATTGTGGTATCCTTTCCATGCCACCCAGCTGCAGGAGGAGGCTCTCTCCTTTGGCCTGCTGCCCAGAGAGGCTTCGTAGTGAAAGCCAGTGTGGACACTATAAAGCCAACCAATGGGTCGAAGGCCTGCTTTCCACACCAAGAGTATCCCTGAGCTGCCCCCTCTCTCCTCTGCTATTTATACTGACTTTGGAAATTTTATTAAATGAAATTCGGAATGACCAGGGACTAAAAGGCTTAAGACTTAAAAATGAAGAATATAAGGTCCAAGCCTATGCCGATGACTTAGTATTTGCTTTAGAGGACCCATTAGAATCTAGTTTGAAATTAATTCAAAAATTAGTAGAATATGGCAAAGTGGCAGGACTAAAGATTAATAAAGACAAAACAAAAATGATAACTAAGAATATGACAAAAAAGCAAGAAGAGGAACTGGAAGCAGCAACTGGATTGCAGTTAACTAAGGAAGTAAAATATTTGGGTCCTCTAAAGCAAATACTAAG